TCTCTTGCTCCAAGAGGAGGTGAATAAAATTGCTTCAAAGAATAAATACACCAATATAGTAAAAAAAAGTAGAAAACTCCTAGATTTGGCTAAAATCCACTTATAAGACCTGACCTTAAGTCCTTAACACTAAAAGCCAATTGCACATCCTCTCAGAGCCAATTGCATGAAATTAGGCACAACCTAATTAATGAACAAGATATTTTTCATTGATCTCTCACTCCTTGGGAAAGCGCAAGTGATTAAATGCTCTTTTGTTTTGCAGATTTCCAAAATTAATTTTAATAGAACTAATTTTAAATTGTTGAATCTGATTAAAAATGTGTTTTAGAACATGCTCTTTTGTTGAATCTAATTTTTAAGTGATTAAATGCTCTTTAGGTTTGGGAAAGCAGTGGAACGCAAGACTCAACACCAACTTATAATTTATTATTACATTAGGATTATGTTTGGATTGATGTGACAGCGGAGTGATATTAAATAGTTTAAAATAGGACGATGTGGAATAAAATATAAAGAATTAAAATTTCAATTTTATTATTTAAATATATTTAATCGTTGCCTCCTTTTTTTTACCAAAAATTATATTATAGTTAAAAATTTAGTCTATTATTTTGATATATTGCGAAAATAGGCACAATAGTAGATAAAGTCCGAACTCACATGAAAAGGTAAAAAGAAAAAATGTAAAAATAAATGAAACGTGTCATATCAAATAAAAAAAAACCATTTAAAATAATAATTTTGATGTCATGTTAGGCTTTTAAAAAAATTTAAATAGCCAATAAAAAAACTTTTTATTTAAGTAAGTAATTAAAAATACTAATTAAATATTAACCGAAAATATCTAAGATTTAATATAAATTAAATCAGATCATTCAATGGAACGGTCCAACTGATCTGCATCCCTTTGCACGAAAGAGATTGTGAGAGCCCCGTCGCCATGGCCCATTGTCAATATGGGTTTCGCTAATTTCAGTCATTTGCCTCTCCCTCTTTGTCGGGCTGCCATGAGATTACTTTATAAGGCAAGCAGTGACGCATTTTATTATCTCAAGATTGGAGAAACTTTCATAAGCAATTAAAATCCATTTGAGCTAATAATTTAATTATTTTAATAAAATAAAATGGAAATAACTTATTTTTAATATTCATTTGTTTTCATAAAGTTCATTAAAATAGGCTTAAAATTTTATACAAAGTTTATAAACTCGTTAAACTGTCCCTTCTCTTTTAGCTAGCACGTCCTGTTTTGTTGTTAAAAAAATAAACACTAATTTGGGATTCAAGATGTGGAATATCTTGGTTTTATTTCATCATAAAATCAAAAACACAATACGAGTTTGTTTGGAATGGAAATTGGATAGTTAATATTAAAGAGAAACAATTTGTGAGATATACATTTAAACTGATGATATTTTGTTCACTTTCATTAAACTCAGTTTCAAAGAATGAAGAAATAAACAATAAGCTGACAGTACAATTTGTGGAAGAACAGGACCTGAATGAGTAGTTTGTGAGAGTGACGTGAGGAAGTGACATATGCACATCGTTATCTTGTTGGCTACGCATGGCGCATTGTGAGGTGTGGAGTGAAGTGAACATCGATTTTTAATCTTTGTTTGTTTGGTAAATTAATGGTAAACGAGGCAGCGTAGGTATTAGGGAGAGGAAACCTATTAACTGACCTTATTCATACGTTCATTAACACGTCAATGTCTTGCCAAAATTATCTTCTCCGATCGTGACCCCGTCATGCCGTCGACTCTCTTGAGGGATTGTCCTTCACAGAAATAATTAAATATTATTTCACTATTTTATCAAAGAAATTTAATTGAATTAAAGGGCAGTTTATTTTTATATTTATTTTGAATTAATTGGTCTGTGTAGAGTTATGATGTACAACAAGACTCTAACGCTACTGTATTTTTAGAAACTTAAATTTTAGACTTCTAATTAATAGACACATCTTGTTAATGCCGATTATTAAGGATTAAAAAGTATTTCGCATCCTTTGTCAAATCATTTATTCGTTTAAAAATAAATCTTCTTTTAAGATTACTTTTATTTAATATTATAAAGTATTCAGTAAAAAACACAATTTTAAAAATGAGAAAATTAAGAAATTCTTAACAAATACCTTTTTTATATCAATTCTCAATAAATACCTTTAGAACACTCTTATTATTTAATTTTGTTTAATGGTGTACAGTTTTAAGTCATTACCCATACCTTAATGATATAGTTAATACAACTGTAAAAAATTGTTGATAAACTAATTTACAATTTCATTTTAGTAATAATTTTTACTTTACATAAGGAAGATACACAAAAATAACACAAATATTTTTTTTAAAACGATAATATTCCTTTCTAAGACGGAGGGAATAAATGCATCTCCTCGTGCTCAGCAAGAATACCCTAAAAAGATTTTATTAATCTCAAGATTAATTTAACCATTTAAAAGTAGTAAATTTTAATTAAAATTACAAAAATATAATAATTTTTTAAAAATTTTGTTATTAATTAGTTAAATTCAATTTTCAAGACCGGAGTTAACATTCCCTTGCATAAAGTAACCAACAATCATGCCCTGAAAACTTTATCCATAAGGATGAGGATAAGTATTTTTTGGGTCAAAATAAGTACGAGGATGTGTGGCGCAGGGAAAGAAACACAAAAATAAACAAAAAAGGCATGTAAGGCCCATATGATTGTTGGGGAGACAGTCCTATTATCAAGAAATAGAGGCCCACAAGGCTTGTAGACGGCTAATGTAGCAATGTTTCTGTGAAAAAAGGTACAATCCAACCGAGCAGCTGACACTGCAGAAACAAACAATAATAACCAGACCTTACACGTGAAAAAACGAAAAAAGAAAAGAAAGAAAGAAAGAAAATGACATTTGCATATTTTTAAAAGGATGAAAGAAAAAAAAAATGATAAAATTATAATTTTGTCTTTCTTTTTATTTATTTTATTTTAATTTTCCAACTTTCAAATTTGTTTTAAATATATCTTTTTATACTAATTGTCTTAACTCCATTAAATATTTATATTTTCCGTTGCACCCTTGATGTCATCTTCTCCTTCTTCCTTCAGCTTCTTCTCTTCTTGCAAATAGGAAGAAGAAAATGACCTTTACAGACTTTATTAGACTGTAAAAAAAAAAGAATGAAGGAAAAAAGAAGAAAAAGAATAAAGCAGCAAAAGATAACATTATATCTACCTATTCAAAATAAAAAGGTCTTATAACCGTAAAACGTGGGGATACTAAAGCATAGACACACCTACGTGGTTGAGTTATTCGGAATGAAAGAGGTGTATTATATATATATATATATATATATATATATATATATATATATATATTAACATCAGTTTTAAACATTTTAAGATAATAAATTTTATAAAAAAATAATATTTATTATAAGCTTAATATTAACGTTAAAAAAAAGGAGAAGCGTTACATTCTATATTTAACCTCGTTAGTTGATTTAAGGGGAAATTTCTTAAAAGTGTTTTTTTTTATTCTATCGGCTTAAATAAACTTTTTGTCTTTTAAAAATCACTATTTTTTTTGTTTGATCTCTTATTTTTAATTTTTTAGATATGTCTTCTAAAGTTGTTTTTCTTTTTCATACCGATATTTTTTAAAAAAAAATTAGTATGTATCTATGTAACATCTATTTTAACTCATGTAATATGACATAGAATTGATATCATTCTATATACTTTCATTCCCTTTATACTTCCGGCATCAGTAAGCTAAAATGTAAATTGAAAATGTGAAATATGTGATATAATTAATAACATGTCTCGTGTTATGTCTCAATTAAGTTATATGAGTTAGCTTGAGTCAACTCAAATGTTACATAAACAAATATCAAAATAAGTTAACAAATTAATATAAAAATCAAATAAATAATAATTTTTTAATATGCTATATTAATTTTTTTTTAAAAAATGGACTAAATAAAAAAATTAGAAATTTTTGAAAGACCAAAAGCTTATTCAAGCCTTTTCTTAATTTACAATTAAGTTCTATACATCAAACAAAATTGGCATTTGTATAATTAATTTTGCTTTTTATAATCTTATGTACAAGGTATATAAGTTATAATTTTTTTAACATTGATTCTTGAGTAACTAAGAATAAATTTTTTTATTAAAAAAATTATGTGCATATATTTATGATATAATAAATATTCTTTTGCTAATATACTTTGCGTGTTTTTAGTGATTTAAAATCTGCACTCATAAGGCTAATATTAAAAAATTGTTTAAGTAAAAAAGAAAATGATAGTGCCATAAATAGGAAGCCTTTTAATATTTTTTTAAGTAAGTTGCATTGACTTGACATGAGTTATAATGACAGTGGATTTTAGGGACTATATGAGAGAATTATTTCTATTTGAAAATGAACTAAATAAATATTAATAATCAGTTTTTATACGAATTATTAAAATTAAAATGCAATTGCGTGACCTTTTTAATAAATAACCATGTGACTTGCAGTATATGATTTGGTCAATAAACATCAACCTGAAGCATCAGTCCATAAAAATATGTTCCCATTGAGTGCTACTGCCATTAAATTGACCCAAGTTGTACTACGAAAACTCAAACACCCCCCCCCCCCTCCCCACAAAAAAAAAACTAATTAAGAGATGGATCCAACTTAATTTCGTTATATTATCTTCAAGCTCTCCAACTATGATATAACCACTTGTGCACGTGCATTTCAACCGTGGGATTTTCATCGGCTTAATTATCTACTACACCATATTCTACCCCTAGCGAGAGATACATCTCCTAACTTCACTACAGGAATACTCTTCAAATCAGTTGAAATTAATCTGTAATTTCAATTTCACCACACGAGCTAATACATTCTAGATTTATTGCACTCACCTCAAGCAACAAGTACCGCCCAATCTTAGATCGATAGTGGGCATGATCATCCTTTGCGGCACCGAAAAATACATTGGTAAATGATGTGTCGACTAAAATGTACAAGAAATATAATTAAAGAAAGACAATTAGTATGTTAACTACATATTTTAACCAAATAAGGAAATGCACAATAATGTATACTCATGCACCACTAAATAAATTTATAATAGAAGTGGATTTATTTACAATATTTCATCTTGTTGGGCGTAAAAAGAACCATCATCAACAGGCAACGATGGTGGGGTTCCAGGTGGTATACGAGCAGCACCGTTCTCACCAGCACATATACATAGGGCTTCTGCGTCCCTGAGGGTTGCATCAAGTTCAATGTGACCACTTAGCTCATTTATGAACTTCAAAAGGGTGTCAAAGTCCATTTCCTCTCCCATTATTATACCACGATATCGTTTCAAGATTGCCACGCATACATACAGGTGCAAATGCTCAGATGGATAATGTGTCCACAATACTTCCCACAAACGCATTGTTTTCTCGTACTCAAACTCCCTGAAATGTCAATCAATATTGTTTAGTTGTTTAAACTAAGTATTATGGGGAAATGTTCCAGGTGGCAAGGCTAAACCTGCAAGATTTGCAATTTGCAATTTTGAAACATTAACAAGACTAACATAAAGTGAAATCATCTTGAGAATAAACAAAAGTTGAAATCATCATACATGTACTCCCTACCGGAAGTACAGAACCATTTCTATGGAGAGTATACTTTCCGGCCACATTCTCTATTATTTGAGGAAACTATTATCAAGAAAATAGCAGACTTAATAAACCTTAGTTATTTTTGGTGGTTAAAATAAATTTTATTCAACATTGATAACAGGATGAAATTATCGATCATTCTAATCAGACAGAGGATTAGCTTAATATCTGCAGACATAACACCTGAAATGCAAGTACAGAATCCTTCTAACATATCATTGGAGAAGTAAAGTATAATCACTTGAAAGTGTCAGCTAACTAGTTAACATTGTTCACACAACCATTCTATCACAAGTCCCAGATTAAGTCACATTTTTTTAGGCAGAGATTCACTAAGCTAACAAGGAGGCAAAATCATCTCCAACAAGCAGAAAGAGGAGGAATATAATTCAGTGGGGACACAGTTTTCACAAAGGATAGAGATTCATTATAGTTCAGTTTTCTCAAAATGTAGCTCCAACAGAGATTCATTATGGACTGTCAAAAGGATAGAGGTATATATTTGTTCATTGAATTCTATCAAAAGAATTTCTACTAAATTACAGTCGACAGCCTTTTGTGTTGCTGGTAATGGTATAGCCAAACAGCCCAAGCTCATTTGCTATTAACGTCACATGTACCTAAAGTTATTGAACTAAGACAATTATAGCAATTCAAGGAATCTAACCTTTTAAATTGAATCAAAATCCAGCGGAAACAAAAGAAATAATTCAAGCAGTCATGCTGCTTAAAATAGTTATGCAATGGACTATCCAGCAACTCCACTAACTGCAACAAAAAAAAAAAAGTATTGGTTAGGAATGGGAAGGATATTAAAAGCAGTACAGCTCAACCAAATTTCCTACAAAGATGGAAACCAGTTACCCAGAAATGCAGCATATTAAGGTTGGATTTTGACAAGACACATCATAAGACAAACTATCAATATGTCAATTCAAACTTCAGCTACATAAAGCAGAGTGCAAAATTTGATTTCATAAAGTCCTATTTTGCTTTCTAGTTTCATGAGATGAAGCAAAAAGTTGTTCGGTATACAGAAACTGACACATTAAAAGGTTACTAATAGGTCTAATTCATGCATCTCAATGAATAGAACAGAACTTGTTGTCCATGATTAAGACAAAAGATATTCATCTGCACAGTAGTTAATGGAAAGACTGGAAAAGAAAACACAATAATGGATATAATTAATTTTGAGCCAAAAAAATAATTGTTTATATTAAATACATTGAATAGGTAATAGGTTCTGTGGATGGTGATGTTATATCAACTATCAAGTTCTCTATATTTACTATGCTAGGACCAGACATTGTGGATAAAAACTGAATGTTTATATACATCATTTATCCATATCATTTAGATTTGGCAAAAGTTCTATGTTGGCTATCAACAGCTAAACTCGATCCTCTTCTTTTACTAAAGCATGGAACTTGCTATGTAAAAATTACATTAAAGCACAACATAGGCAGAGTTGTTGTTTGATCCATGTTGCTGACCCCACTTAGTGGGAAAAGCCGTTGTTATTGTTAATTTTTCATGTTCACACAATCTAGGAATCATCATAAGCTAGTTACATCAGCAAAGCAGGCTCAAAGCCAGTAGCACAACCTCTTCATAACTACCCAAATTATGGAAAATGACAATACCTTCAATTTGTAATCTTGCAAGTCTACACCTAAACTATCTAAGCACATCTCTGGATGCCTTACAAGATGAGTGCATAATGAGCTTGTGTACATATACAGAGAGAGCAGCAGCCAAATCTTTTTCCACTAGGCTGTGTTAGTGGAGATATTCTCAAATAATATAATGCTAGGAAAAGGAGACTGAAAGCAAGCAAAGTGTAAAATTAACCAACAAAAAGTCAGTCCCATCACCACCTAATCATTAAAAATTAATGATGGAGGTGTGTTTATGTGGTTTGTCAAGAGAAGAAAGAAGAGAAAAACCTTAGATAATGCAAAAAGTTGAGAGTGCATGCCATTTTGGTCACGATTAAAATTGGGTCCAAGACGTTCCATTAGGGCAACAAAACACCAAAATGCCTCTGATTCATCATCCATCACAAACAATATTGGAGATAGAAGATCACTCATTCCCTGTAAAACAGAATGTATGTAAGCTTTCATGACCATATGAGATAATAATCTTAACTATACCAGTTTTTTAGATTGGAGGGGAGGGGAGGGGAGGGGGGGGGGTGTAACATACGAAAACAATAGAGGCATTATGATTCACGGTTCCAAAATATAGTTGATCCATGAAGATACTAGCTATTAAGATACTCCTCCCTGACTGCAGTGAATACTTACTATTCTTTGCTTAATCAAATAAGCAAACATTCAAAGCAATCACTAACATACAAGCGGGTTCATAACATCCAAAAAGGAACATCAAAATTTTCATGTTTAAGATGTATGATATCAACAATTAAAATTAAGTCCACGATCCATTCATAGTTACCTGGCAATAACCAAGATCAAAGTTGTAGAATGAATATGTCAAAAGGATATCTCGCAGAATTTTTACATTTGGATTATCATCCCCTTCATAGAAATCAAGTGATCGATCAGTTCTCACCTTCAAAAATACAAGAGTTAGAAGTTAGAACTACATAAGCATCATTTATCAGTTCATTTGTAGTCATTGTAATATAGAATCAGGAACACTAGTTTCCAGCTCACCACGTCTTTCTCAATAAGCCCTTTCCTTTCCCTGAATTTTGTAAATCTTTTAGCCTGTGCTGAGGAGATACTCTACAGAGAAAAGTACAAAAAAATATAAGTTTTGAAGGTTTAGTTGAGAGCATATAGAATTACAGCAGAAAAATGGTGCCAAAAGAGATGTCAATATCCATTATTAGAATATAATACAAGGTATTAATTAAAATAGAACACAAACTTTGGCAACAATAAATAAATGAGTAAATCCAGGTTCAGATCATTATATTCCAGTCACTGGCAGGGTTAGAGTTTGTAATTAGTCTTTTTATCTGCTCCATATCTTCTTTGGGATCTCATCATGCAAAACCCAGTTCAATGCTTTGATGCAAGCCTGGTTCCAGGTGAGAAAAAAATTCACCTGATGCAAGTGAAATGTGGTCACAAGTGGTTTGGTAATCTTTGATCAAAATCTCATTCATTTATGCTCATATTGGGTACTGTATCATCAGTCTTGCATCAATATACTTAACAACTGCTGGATGTGAAGTCCTTCCACCATGGCATTAATTTAAATAGACAAACTAAAAACTAAGGCTGAAAGGCATTGCACATAATCTCATGAAATGGGATAAGTATTACAAAAGACATAGATCTCCATGTAACTATTCATGTACCTAACTTAAGATTTAGAAAACAACTTTCAAGTGATTAGTAGGAAAGCAGAAAGAGAAGTACATCAACAAAAAAGAATGTTGGGAGCAAATGAAAACCTGCCACTGGTTCTTTATGGTCTCATACTCTGACTTTTTAACCGACTTCAGGAATTCTCTCTCAGCATATGTTGACTCATATGAATAATATCCCAAAAGCAAACCCCAAACCTATAGTTTATAAATAAGCTTTATCAGAGGAAGAGCATATTTTAATATATAATTAAAATGCTCAGTCTAAAACTCGTTACAATGTGCAAATATGAAAACCTCATTTCGTAATTTGTGGTCAAGTCCACCATAAAATACTCTCTTTCTCAAAGCTTCTGAATCCATGACTCGCCCTTCAGAATCCAAGAAGGTAATCCACTGCAGATGTTTAACCCCAATAAGCAATTAAATGTAATAAATAATAACATGCTTGATTTTCCTCAACAAATGCATAAGTTGCCACATCAGCTCCAGAATGCTTCTTTATAGCACAGTATAGTAAAAACTACTCAAGGGCAGGTTTGTGATGAAGTATTTGGTGGAAAAGAGAAGAGAGGGTAAACATTTCATTTCAAGTAAATATTCTCTAATTTAAGAATTATTTATAATGAAAAGAATAAACTGACAGATACAACCTGCTATTCCTTTGTTCATTTTTATAAGAACTATAACTCTCAATTCAAAAATGAAAAATTTAACCTCCTTTCCTTTTCCCTCAAAAACTCTACATCCAAACAAGCACAGGAAGGAATTGATTGTAAATCTATCCATAATGACACACTAAACATTCAAAATCTATGAAAACACAAATATAAACCAGATCCAGACACAAACATAAAATTGTTTGAATTTTCATCTAAAACAAATTGTGATAGTCGAAATTTGGCATGCAGGCTTGTCAAAGACAGTAGTACATGCAAGCATATATTCATAAATGCACATGCATAAATTACATTCATTTCGTTCCTAAAAAGACAATGTTGACTCACTTCTGCCCCCTTGTCTTTACTAGAACAAAGTAAAATTAAATTATTAGGGTAAATTACAAAGAACCCCATAATATTTCAACCATTTTCAATTTTCTCTCATAAAACTTATTTTGTAACATTTAACTTCCTTGAAGTTTGGGTTGGAATAAAAAAGTTAAATTCTATTAGTTTTAACATCCAATAGATCACATAAGAAGCAAGTCCCATAAAAAACAGAGGTTTGAGTACCTTGTGAACTGGCTCAACTCACTTCTTGTCCTAACTATGGGATGTTGAATCTCAGAATTTATTTATTTTTATTCTAACCAAACCTGGAGGTTATTTGCAATTTGCCTCAAATATGTCGTTTAAGATAATGAAAAAAGAAAAGAAAAAGTTATATCAATAGTTACTTTATACACACCTGATTGAATAATTGAAGATAAAATAAACATCAAAAAACAAATTTCACCCATATCTTGTTGAACCTACAATCCATGTTCTGTTGGCACTCACAGGAAATATTGAAAGATAAACCAGTATGTTTTTCCTGTGTATGGGTGGGTGGATTGTGTGTGTGTGTGGGGGGGGGGGGGAATCAGAAGAAGAAATCTAATTGAATTTGAAGTTTGCAAACAATTAAACCAAAGCCATCATATTGACCATCCAACTTTTGGTCCAGTCACCACCAGGAAGAAAAAATCCTTCTCGATTGCATTGCATCATTTGCAAAAGCACAATAAACTTGCTTACAATTTACATATTATTAATAATAAGACAATAGAGCTTTTCCAAGAGAAATTCATGCATATATATATATATATATTCTGATGCTAGGAGCCTGTATAAGATGCTATATCTTTTAACAAACATACAGCTCATACCTCTTCAGAACCTAAAGGAGGTTGCCGTGGTTTTCCCCATACTAGTGATAGTTTATCAAACTGCCGGAAGTGAAACAGAAGAGGATATCATTAATAGTATACAGGGTAAAAGGGAGCATGTAAAACAAGAGGCCATAAAATTTTGCAAATATGAACAGTATCCTAAATCAATCCACAAAGGCAGACATTTAAAATGATATTCCCTCCATAACAATCAGATCATTCACGGCAACAATAAGAACACAGATTTACATATGTCAATAGTTACAATGTGGAGAAGCAAATTGATCAGATAATTTTTAATATGATCAGTATGACCTGAGAGTTTCAGCACCTAAAAATGATATTTTGCACACAAGTGTTAGTTGTGCACATTTTGCTAACTTGCTGATTTGAGATGGTACCGATGGTAACTGTCAGGAATTCAAAAACAGAAGATGAAAAGATTTACCTTTACCATAACTGAGGCACTGCCAATTCACAAATGCTAACAAAACTGAATAAATTCTTCTACCCTTCTTCCCCCTATTAATATCAAATTAACCCATCTAACAAACTAAACCTTATCTCACTAGGTGAGGATGGCTACATGGATCACATGACCCCATTAAGCTCATTAAAAAAATCAAATACTCAAATTTTCAAATAAGTAGGAGTCAGTTTTTGGGACTGGATTTTGTGAATTCACCTTTTATGGTTCTATTTTTACCATAGATACAAATTTTTTAGTAGCTAATTTGTACAGAAAATTAATAAAAGTAGTCAAATATTTTATTGTTTTCTTCTTTCCTAATATTAATGCCTTTCCTCAACAAAGCACTTATCAATGCCTCTTGCCTTGGGAGTTAAAACATCCCTTGTGTTTTATTTGACTATCTTGCTCTCTGAATACTCATCTTCTGCTCCTACATCAACATATGAAGACCTAGTAGCCAATGAAAAAAATCCACAGGCTTCATAAAGGCATCCAGCATACATCAGATCTGATGTAAACCAGATTGGCAATCCAAGTGGATGCAATAAAAATGAAGATCAGTATCCTATACTGACTTTACATGTGTTACAACTTACAAAATATCAAAAAGAATACAAGAATACTCAGACAAATGACTGTACAATAACCTAAGCAGCTTATACTGTATGTCCCAGCTGGACTAACTCTGTAAACAACGGGTCTATAACTATAATAGTACCTAAGCACCCATCATCTATCAATGACAACAAACAAAAGATCTGCAACAAAGACATCACCACCACCAGTACTGCTACAGCAACCAAGCTTTTTTCCACTATCAAATTTATCAATGATGGAAAAATTCAAAGGAATATGACCCATAAACAAGATATTTGGGTACCTCTTTACAACTGATAAGCTCAAAAGTTCCCACACTAGTGACAGCTTTCTCACCGTGTTCATGTTTCAAAAATGAAACATTCTGTTTATTTATGATAAAGGTTTGCATCAGATGGTCCGGTAATATAACTTGAAATTATACAAATTGGCACAAGCAATTATTATTGCATTACGACTTAAGAGATTAAATTCCTCTTTGGAAACATATTTTATTGGCATAACTTCAGCAGTCAGAACACTAAAATGATTAGGCCACAGATCATCACACTGGATGCACCGTAAGAGACTTAAGCAACTCCCTTCTCAAATGCATTGTCCAATAGGTTTGATCAGACATGATATAAATCATCTTAACCACTACCTTTGCACTAAGAAAAAATGACCTTACTACAAACACTAAATATTTTAACCAAGCTATAGCTGTCTGCATAATAATCTTCTCAACACTTCCAAAACCATTACCTAATGAATAATGGTAATGGGAGTGGTTTGGTTAATGAAACACAGCCAACATTATTCATGGGATAAAATACAAGAGTAGAGATAACCACAACACTTTGTACTAAAGCAAAAGTTCTAAAAAATAAAAAGGAAAATACATTAATTAATAAATAAACAATTCCTGTGTCAATGAAGATGTATACCATTATTCCACGAAACTACAAACAACAAGGGACCCTTAGGCATACATATTGGTTACACAATGCCATCTTACTGTTCCATGGAAGAAAATTATGTTCAGGGTACAAGATACCAACAGAGTACACACCAACCATCGCTAATCAAAATAACTTTGAAACTAACAACATAGTTTTCTTGCTGCCAGTAAGCTAACATTTACAACATCAAGACCACAGGAAAAGGGGTTACCTCCTGAGAATCCAAGACAACAGGACTTTCGTCCAATATGCCATCTGCAACATTGGAAGATTTCTTAGGATGATCAAGGCTAGTCTGGATATGAGTTCTCCTCTCACTGGCACTAAATCCATTGCTCTGGTTTTCTCCGAAAAGTTGAGAAGTTGTTTCACGGGCAAATTTTGTGACAAGAGAAAACTTCTCTAAAACTTGAATAGAGAGGTCTCGAGCAGGATCATGAACTTTATTTCTTGGTCTCCCATGGAACTGAGGAACACTGAGACTTCCATTATCAACACCACTATCAGCCCTTTCTTGGTTCTCATTCAAAATGGATCCATCAACTGACATATTTGAAGGTCCAGATGTAAGAGGAACAGCCCTGGGAAGCTCCAAGGAAGACAAAGTCCTCTGGAAGTCAATTCATGCATTAGAAAATTTGGCAGGCCAAATAAAATGGCGTAATATTTAATTATATAAATCAAGAGAGACTTTAGAGACCCAAGGGAAATGACAAATGTAAGCATTTTCACACTCACATCTTTCTAGTGAAATGAACAAGTAATTAACATTTGCACTATGAAAATAAAAGAGCTCATGATCTCGTGTCACTTCATTAGTAAGGTAAATTTTCTTCCTTTAGAAATCTTTTTCTCCACAAAGGACATTACGAATTAATGGTTCAGTTGCTAAAGCCAAACACTTGAATATCACATCAGACACACCTGCAGTGTATTCTGAAAATCATTCACAAGGAATACGTTGGCATCTTCTGCAGATCTGAAATACAATACAACAGAAAATGAAAAAAGAGATGTTAAACAAATGCTACATTTGGCATGCAAATATAAACAAAACTGCAAGAAAAGTTTAACTAAGAAATGATAGAAGTGTGTTGTCAATATAATGTTTTTTTCTTGATGCAATAAGCATGACCATGAATTCGTTTGGAAGTGTAAAGGGTTTTTATGGAGTCATGCCAGTATGAAAGTGCGATCTTGATGCACACATAGTATGAAAAGGCTAGTGGATACCTGTAAATACAACCTGAAGAAAACATGGGCACAATGATAACAAGCATTTCCAAAACATTGTGCTTGTTAGGATGTCATGAATGCATCACACAGCTGATCACTTACTCAAAAGTAAGAATGGTTAAGTCTTGCAAATAATACATAGTTAAGTCATGTAAAAATTTTTATGATGACCATCAAAGCCAACTGCAGGTTAATTAATTTCACACAATGAAACAAAACATCTTTTATAAATCCACAACAGAAACAGTGGCAACAACTAGCTACAACCAAATTGAAAAGTAATTAATGACAATGATTACAAAAAACTCAGCTCCTAAGACTCTCTCCACACATGAAAACAGATGAATTAATTTATTAATCAGTTCTTATAATAAATAGAGCTCAGTAGTAACAAGAACATATCAAGTAATAAACATATGAGGAAGTATGATAAACAGGTAAAACAAGAGAAAAAATATTCTGCAAGCACGAAGGATAATAAAAAAACAATTCTTGATTCATTTTCTCAGAGATGCCAAAGATATCCACCTTAAAAAGAAACAGAAGAAAAACCAGAGAAGGCAGAAACCAATAGGGAGAATTCAACATGTGAGACTTCTCAAAGAACATAAAACGTATTACATGTCAAACTTAACAAGTGCAATCAAATGAAAACATTTGTCCTTGTAAAGGAACTTGTCGCATATAGAACTGCATCTAATACAGAAAACAGAAATATCAACCGGCAGACCTGCATACAATTGAGTGCGGGAAAACACACCCCTCACTAGAGGAAAAATATAAGCAAGTGGTATAATTTTTTATTTTTCCCTCTTTAACCTTATGAGTTTGAATACCCTCACTTGAAGGTGGATAAGAACACCCCGTCACTTGGAGACAATGTGCTAATTGTTCAATGATTTCAAAACATGAAATCACACAGAATCATTGTAAGGCATGGAATTTATCTGACTATGTACATTAAAAACTATAAAAATTTACACAATTTTAACATTTAACTTCATATAATAATATTGTTAATTTTTAATTAATTTTAAAATTGCCACTACTGACACGGTCCTGGATTCACCACTGGAAATACTAACCAACCTCTATTTTTTCTTTGAAAAAACTTCATTTTTGGTATAAGTTGAAACCATGAAAAATTATCATACAAGATATATATGAAGGAATTGTCAAGACAAATATAGTGCATCTTCCAAGTGATTAATCATAAGTGAATAGAAAGATAAACAATCAACAAAGAATATTGTTATCTAAAGGCAGAAGTCCTTGATACAATTATAAAAACATGTCATTCCAATTTCAATTTTTTTTCCTTTTGCCCCTTTAACATAAAACATTATCATCCCTTTATTCTATTTCTATCTTCTCCTCCCAAATGCTTAAGCAAGCCTACTTCTTTATTATTGCAATATGAGCAAGCAGCGGGGATTGTATTATTCTTTTTTAATAGGGCTTGGGCAAAGCCTGAAAACATTCCCACAGTCTTTTCTAATTCCCAGGAAAATTTCACTATTTAATAGTATATCATCAATAGTTTGGTTATTGCATTATTAATATGTCACATGAAAAAAATCAAAAAAGAACAAAACGAAAGAAAGGGCATGCCATGAAACAAAAAGCTAACCTCACAAGAAGAACATGTTGCTTTATTGTAGCAAGGAATTCTTTGACTCCTCCACTATAGAAGTATAGTGGAGGATAAGCAAGTCCTGCAAAAAAAATTTCACACAAGATTGAACCGTAGAAAACAGAATATTGGGTATAGACTGAGTCAAATTCTAGAGGTGTGGTAGATATAAATAGAGTTGCCAAACCAACACAGACATCTCATTTACTCAAGCATTGTTAACCAGAATATTTAAATGTACTACAACTAGATATATTAAACAGAGAACACATCAAGAATGTGCCATAACGTACTTACAAATAGAAATCACACATCCCGCCATTAAGTGTAGCAGCAGATAAATAAGAAAGAAAAGTAATATATAAATCAAGTGTAGAACCCAGCGCTTGATATTCAAAAACTTGGCAAAAAGTGGACGTTATTGGTTAATATAAAAGCTAGTTTGTAGTTATTGATGCCGGCAAAAAAAATCTCATAATGGTTATCAAATGCAACCAAGTACACCAGCTGCTAAAAGAACATTTTCAAAATGAATTGAATAAGAAAAAAGGATCAAAACAGATAAATACAATTAGTATTTCTGAAATGTATTATTAAAAAGGAAAGATGTCATTTCTAAATATTTATAATAAAAAAATTTAAATACATTAAATTTTATTTTTCAACTATTATAATACAAGTATCTTGCTGTATACTTTTCCTAAGCTTCTCAATAGCTACTCTATTCCCGTGTCCATGCATCACAATAAATCACATACAGCTGTTAATAGTAACACTAAGCATTAATCTATCACCTACTCTCCATCTATAAAATTTTCCAGTGATATACACAGGCTAACGAGCCAACAGCTTCGGTTGATTGTGCCCATAACAAGGGTTCTCATTTTAGTTTTTCCTACATCAAGGTGGCACGCTTAGGCTAGATTCCCTTTAGGTTTTTGTTAGGCGTATAAAAATCAGTGCTGCCACCCTAGTTCTCATATGATTATACAAGCTATCCACTTATACAGCATCTGCTCAGAGAATTTGATGTAGCGTTTCAGCCAAATTGCACATTAAAATCCAAAGGAATTTTATCCTGCAAATCAGTTACTTTTACCAACAAAGTACATAACACAAGTAGGAATTTCAATTTACCCATCATACGAAAGAATTACTACTTAACACATCCAAGGCAGTATTTCCTCTACATTTATGCCCAAAATAAGAAACCAACACCCGCCATAAATTTACTATTATACAATCAAACCACGTGTACCCCTTGATTCCATTATCCATACAATATCAGACGCATAGAGACACACAAATACTAAAAGTACCTAGTTGATAGGCAGCAGGATAGAGAACAAAACAATGAAAAATAATATATATATATATATATATATATATATATATCCATTAGATTCATCAACAGAAATTCACCTGATGATAGAACAACAATGATGTATTGCCACCCAAGAGCAGGAGTGTGCCTCCGTATGGACCTGATGTCAGTGAAGGGCACCGCCCTTATGGTGTAAAGTTTTCTGTCTAAACAAGAAATGGAGCAACTTCAACATATAGGTCACATTGCACAACACAGTAAAGTCATCCAATCCACTCCAAATGCAAACTACCTTTATCAGACAGCCTGGTATCTGAACTATGCCCTTTGTAAGGTATCCAAGTCTACAAAGGAAAGGAAGACATTGGAATAAACATATAATCACAGCCAACCAAAATGCAACAACAATAAATAAATAAATAAATAAATGATTACCATAAACAAGGACGAGCTTTGCTTAATCAATTTCAGTCTTCCACCGATTCTTTCGGAGGCAAACTGAGTCGGATGAATCGCAACATTGTCCTTCAAATATACAATTTCAACACCGTCCCGTTCACTAGACGGAGAGCTCTGTTTAGAACTGTCACTCTGCAGCATCACGCTAGCAGATCCCTAATTGAAAAAAAAAAAAAATTCGCGAAGTCAGTTAAATAATTGGAGTGTTCAATTGAATCACGAAAACCTAATTGAAATGCAAATTGATCGGAGGAACCAAAAGGAAGAGGAAATTGTGAAGTGAAAAGGGCGACACTCTTACTTGTTGCTGAGACGCAGCGTAATCGGCGTCGTCGGATAAATCGTGAACGTCTGATTCTAGCATCGGCGATTTCGCAAAACTGAAAACGCGAAGAAAGAGAGAGAGGGAGGGAGAAGGAGGTGTCTTCGAAGCGAAGGAAAATCGTGTTGCGAGAAAATGAACAGAAAGAAGAGAATGTGATGTTTGTGTAATGTAACGTGTTGTTACTCGTTTGTCTTCGACGCGGGTACGGAACTCTTTTCGTTGAATGTACACCGCTGGATTACTAAAGTGGGTCACATAAACGGCTGAGATCGACGAAAAATAAACTTTCCTTTGGGGCCCGCAATATTGTGTTTCATGATCCTTTCGTTGCCTTCGCCCTCCACCGCCGCCTGGCGCCTAGTAAGAAACCTCCGTTACATATTTTGTTATTATACGGATCAAAATTTACTGGATCTTGACTAAAATTTCGGGGTATCTTCGCATTAATTTAATTTTTGTTGAATATATTTCACAATTAAAATTCTAAAAAGAGGAAATTTTTAAGTTAACTAAATTTAAACACGTATGAGTAGAGGTTGGTTCAACTTGTAGGATGAATGTATTGTTATTTTAAAATGTATATTGGTGTTTTTCTTTAGATATTTTTAGTCAAATAATTTTTTATTATTTAATTAAATTAATGAGAATAATATTTAAATAATAATATCTTAAATCAAAAGTGATAATAAATATTAAAGAGTGGTGATAAATTCTCATCAAATTATATACGGTTGATTGGCTTTAAGTAAAATTTTTATTTTTTGTGTAAAAAAAATGCTAAAAGAATTAGCTTCATCATGATATAAATGTTTTTAACTTAAAAAATGATTATTTTCAATAAAAAATAATTAAATTTTAGACAAATAAAATAACACTATATTTTCATTGAAACAGAATAATTTTATCCACAAAATATTTTACCGCACGTACGTTAAAGCACCTAAAAAAAAAGAATAATACCCTAATTTAGTTAACAAGATTTGAGTTTAAATATAATAGAATAAATTGACATTAAAGAAATATCATATCGCAAAAAAAATGCCTATTTTGTTTGTGTTTAAGTAAGGAATATGTTAAAATCAATTATTTGAGTTGATTTTAAGTGATTCTACTTTTTTTTAATACAATAGGTAGTTTTTAAATAAAATTTTGCTATTTTTTATATAAGCAAAAATGTTGAATTAATAATAAAAGATACACGTTAAATGATTTTGTTGATATAATTATTTATTAAATTTTTGATATTTTAACTTATATATAAATAATTTTAATTCAAAAACTTTTAAATAGGGATTAAACATGCAAAAAGTAGTGATAATCATCACCACTGTCTCATGCTTCTTCATGATCCTCTTTCACATTGTTTTCATTGATTTATATAAAAACAACATACCTTATCATTAGTTAAAATCTATATTTAGTTTCTTGTGTGGATTATTATTAATTTTGCTATTCCCTAATTGTTGATGGATGATATATAGCCTACGTATTTCCTACGTACCTAATGCTCCATACTCCGTCCAACTCATAACTCGCACAACTTGACTTTTGGTATTTGTATTGAACTTGATTATCTCTGTTGTGTTCCTATTCGACGTTCGCTCAATTTATCGTCTTTATTGCACGATTTTTATTTGCTGGTTTGGTTCTTGAATTTTCGCTGTTTAGATTTGCTTTGTTTGTTTTGCATCTCCTTCCATCTCCATTGGTGTAAGTTTGTGTTATCCCTTTTCTACACTTTTAAGTTATTAAATGGTAATAGACAATGATAGATTTTCTTTTTTATTTTATTTCTCTGGGTTTTTACATTTTATCCTAAATTTTTAGTGAAATGAGTCCAACTCACTATCTTAGTGGATTAATCTAGCTGGACTTTTTGCTTGACTGAAAAATAAGTTGGGTTGAGTACTCAGTTGAGTCGAAATTACCTTATTTTGACAACTTCACACACCATATGGGCTCAACCTTCAACAAGTAGACCACACTCAACTGAACTATGCAGGACTACAACAGTGTCTTGACCATGTATGATGCACATTCAAGCCTTGTATAACCAACGCGTGTCATCACACGAAATACACAACTTATTCCTCTATCATTATTTTATTAAAACAAATATTAACTTAAACATTGAAGTGTTTTTGCCATCCATTCTCCATATCGAGTACATCAACATGGTAATGGTTTCACCGTTAAACTATTTACAGCACATATGTATGCATGCATGTGTAATATATGTATGTATAGTAGATATATTTAGTGAAAACAATTCTTACTATAAAATTGTAGGAATTTTATACATGGATAATTATTTAAAAGAAAAATCTGGTCTTTTAAAATTTTGATAATTTAAATAAATTTTAATAAAAATGTTATTATTTTCTTATAATAAATATTTTTGCTTGACTCTCTTTGAACATATATAGTTTTTTTTAATACAATATTAAAATTAAACTAAATTAAGTAGATTTATATGTCCATATAACTATTATCCAATTTTGATGAGCTATATCATTTCCTACGTGTCCATCATATTTTTGAAGAGAAAATTGATTCCTGTCCTGTCCATCCAAATAAACCAAATAAATACTTGAAGAAAAAATTACTTGATTATTCCTACCCAAATCTTACCAGCAAAAATTACCTTTCATCCGCTTTAAACACTTTTGTTTTTCGTTAACCGTGTTTAAAAACCTGATTACCCCATAAAGCTTGTTTTTATATCTCAAAATAATATAATTAAAATATTTAAACCTTTTCACCACAGCACCATTTTTTCTCCACCCCACATATTAAACAATATTATATATATACCCCATTATAAGCTATAATTATTTTTACATTATTAAATTTTAACCATATATTATTTTAATTAATTGTTTGAAATTTTATTAAAATTGATTGAATATAAATATAAAAATATTTATTTTAATATAATATATATATATATATATATATATTACATTAATAATAATAATAACACATTAAAGATTTTTTAATTAGTCTAAAATTTTAGTTATAAAAATTTTATGATTAAAACTTTTGATTTAACGATTTGTTTTAAAATTAAATATCAATTATAAAAAATATTAAATGATATAAAATCAATGTAATATAAAACTTGTGAATTATCACTACAAATATTTCGTCCTCACTTGTAATTTGATATTGTCAATAAAAAAGCACTGTGATATAATAAGGAACTTTTATTGAATAGATATATTTACTAAAGGAAGTTATTGTAAAACAAGCCGCTTAAAGTATTATTTATTTCTTGGTTATTATATAGACCAATAAATTTAATAATATAGCCTAAGATACAGGAAACAATATACAGAAAATTGTGGGACAAAATAACAAACTAATCTTATTTTATCTTATCTTATCTTAATACTCTTCCTCAAGTTGGAGTATGGAGGGAGGAGATACCCAACTTGGATATGAGAAACTAGAATTATTTCTGTCTGAGCGCTTTTATTAGAAGATCTACAGGTTGGATAGAAGTGCAGATATGTTCTGTTGAGATTGTTTTGTTTATTAGATGTTCTCAAACAAAGTGACAATCAAGTTCAACATGTTTTGTGTGTTCATGAAACACAGGTTTGGAGGCAATATGTATTGCTGATTGGCTATCACAGTATAATTTCATTGGCATGGAGTGTGTGATGCCTAGGTCCTTCAAGAAACCTTTGACCCATAATAGTTCAGATGTAGCATCCACCATCGCGTGATACTCCGCTTCTGTTGAGGAGTGAGAAATGGTGTGTTGCTTTTTAGATTTCCACAAGACAGGAGAGTTTCCTAGTGAAACAAAGTAGCCCGTGATGGATCTCCTAGTGATCAGACAGCTTGCCCAGTCCAAGTCGCAATATGCACGTAATTGAAAATTACAGCTAGAGCTCAGGAGTAATCTCTGCCCTAGATTTCCTTTAATATAACGCAAAACACGCAGCACAACATCATAATATTCTTATAGTGGGGTTTGAAGAAACTAAGAAAGAGTGTGCACTGCATAGCTTAATTTTGGCCGAATAATAGTGAGATATACAAGACGTCCGACAAGGCATCGATACCTTGTTGGATCACTGTAAGGTGGGCCATTAGTAAGAGCTAACTTATGATTTTGATCCATGGGCGAATCACATGGTTTGCATCCGAGTAAACCACATTCTTTTAGAATGTCCATTGCAAATTTTTGTTGGCTTAAAAACAAATCAGAACGAGCAAATTCAATACCCAGAAAGTATTTAAGGTTGTTAAGATCTTTGATCTTAAACCATGATTGGAGATAAAGTTTAACTCGAGCACAAGCAGAAGTATTGTTACCAGCCAAGATGATGTCGTCAACATATATGAGAACCACTACAAATTCATTTTCACGAGTGAATGTGAACAGAGTGTAATCGGCTTTGGATTGTTTAAAGCCATAGCTCATAAGTGAGTCCTTTAGTTTTGCAAACTAGTTTCGTGGTGACTGCTTCAGGCCATACAGGGATCGACGCAATTTGTACGCTAAACCTACAGTACCACTACTGAAACCCAGAGGAAATCGCATGTACACTTCCTCCTCAAGGTCTCTATGAAGAAAGACATTGTGTACATCTAGTTGAGAAATATGTCATCCTTTTGCAACAACAACAGAAAGAAGAATACGTACACTAACCATTTTTGCGACAGGGGCAAAAGTTTCATTATAATCCTCCCTCTCAATTTGGTTGTTGCCAACAATGACCAATTTGGCCTTGTAACATTCAATAGAGCCGTCAAAGTGATATTTGATGCAAAAGATCCACTTACATGGAATCTCCTTCTTACCATGTGGGAGAGGAGTGACTACCCATGTTTGATTATCTTCAAGAGCTTGAATTTCAAGCTTCAGGGCATTTTTCCATAGTGGGTCCTTCATCGCTTCTTTGAATGATCGCAGTTATGTGTTGCTACTAACAGCCGCTAAGAAATTTTGATGCTGTAATGAGAAAACATTATTAGTAACATAGTTTTTAATAGGATAGAGAATACCTGGAGAACAATTGGAGAGAGTGTTGATAGAAGTGGGTGTAGTAACTGTGCGGCAATGATAATCTTTTAGATTTGCTGGTGGGCGATGAGACTTGCTGGATCGACAAGGTTTTGCAAAAGCTTGTGGTAGAGAAATAGTGGTACTCCCCCTTT